CACCTCACCACCCCTCCACCTGCACCTCCATCTTCACCGGCACATGCAGCAGGCCATCGCGCGGCAGCCCGCCCGCGCGGATGTTGACCTGCAGGGCCTGGTGGATGAGCCTGGGCTCGGCCAGCCCCGCGTCGCGCTCGGTGCGCCAGCTGACAAAGTCGGCTTGCGACGTGCCCGCCTTGAGGTGCTTGTTGTGCGCCATCTGCTCGGCCACGGTCGAGGCGGCTTGCGGTGTGGCGCGCGGGGTTTTGGGCGGGTAGTCGTGCCCCGTGTAGATCTTGTAGGCGGGTGGGAGGGTGAAGAGTTTGGTGGCGGTTTGGTAGCTGTGGTGGTTTGGGGGTGGGTTGGGTGAGTATGAGTGGGCTTATTGGACGGATGGAGGAAAGGGGAGGCACTAACAGGTCGTTGGCGTTGCCGCCGGGGAAGTCGCAGCGGGCGGAACCGACGTCTGAGTTGAAGATAGAGTCACCACAGAAAATGTTCCCTGGAGATGTTAACAGTCTGTCTGAAACAAGGTGGTTGCGTATTTCGAGTGGGTGTTTAGGGTCGCAGCCCTGAGTTAGGGGTATAGGGGCGGCTTTGTGATAAGGAGACAAGAGGACTCACCCCCGATCAAGTACCCCATGTGATCTGGCGTGTGTCCGGGTAGATGGACAGCTTTCGCCTCAAGTTCCCCCACGTGGAAGATCTCATCATCCTCTAGCAGCATGTCAAAGGGCACCCCTCGTACTCCTCCCCTCGCGATGTCATATCTCTTCCCCAACCCGCTCCTGGGACCTCGGCGATCCGCTTCCCGATACCGACTCCGGGCTTCCTTCCGTCTTTAGCGAGCCGGGCCTGAAGGTACTTTGCTGCCGTTAGATGGTCGGCGTGGACGTGTGTCTCGAGGAGATGTTCGACGGTGTAGCCCTCCTGCTGGATCAGGGCAAGTAGGTCATCCGCAGACTTGGTGGAGATGGCGTTGCGGGCCGGGTCAAAGTTGAGGACGGGATCAATGATGGCAGCGGCCTTGGTGGAGGGGTCGGCTACAACGTACTGCCAAGTTGAGGTCTGCGGCTCAAAGACGGTGTGAACGATGGGCTCCATGGTGACAGCGGGGGGTACAAGCGGTTGAACGGGATGTTTATCTTGGAATGAATTGGATTTGACTCGTAGATGTAATGTTGAGCGTAGATACAGCGTACTAGATAACTCCCTAGCTTTTTGACTCCTCGATGGCTGAGGTCGAGCATCAAATGTCAGATACGTCCGCAGGCTTGGGCTAGTTTCCTGGCACCTTGCCGAGTTTGCCTGTAGTCCCGCATGATATCCGGCGAGCTGGTTCAAAGTCGCCGACCTCCATCCCCCGGGAGATCGGGGACAATGAAGGTGGCGGCTGGCCTCAACAAAGACCGAGAGCCGTCGAAGCGGAAGGGCGAGCGACGGGATAGGGGTTGGCATCATCACACTGCATCATCATCATGGGAGGCGGACGAAGGGGGGATGGAGACACTCGGCCATGTTCGTCCCGAAAAGTGTCCGTTTCCGGTGTGATTCGTCCGATAACAAAGGGTCGCCACTGTCATGGCATCATCATGGTCATGGTTGTTGGGGGTTATGGTCGACCGATTCCAGGGTTCGGGTTTGTTGAGCTTGTTTCGTGTTTGTGTTTCCGTCGGCGGCTTAGGATGTCGGTTCATCGCCGATGCCGTGTAACCCGGCGACTTCCGTAATGCGGCATCGTGCATCGTACACAGTAGTTTGAGCGGTAAGGTGCACCGAGAACCGCAACCGGGATGGGGCCGCGCAGTGCGGCCGTGGACGGGCCGTGGATTTATGGGTCCCCGAGCAGGCTCCACTTGACGCCGGGCTTCGATCTGGGGATCCATGAAGAAGCCCGAAGGGATGGGTGGCAGGGTGGGTTTTCATCAATCAAGGTTTGGCAGTTCGCCGACCATCCAAAATTGGGGAAATCCCCAATCCCATTCCCCAATCCCCTAGAAATTACCGAGGGGCGGGTCAGCCCTGGGAGCGAACCCGAGCCCGAACCAATTCTCAAGCCTTTCCTCCTTTGGCTCTATGCGTATGGATGGACGCGAGGAAAGTGCAGGAGCCAAAGTCCCTGGTGGCCGAATCCGGGCTTCGGGCTTTGGACTTGGGATGATTTTTTCCTCCTCGGTGATATTTTACACTGACAGATAACTGATTGCAAAACCTCAGGCAAGCAGGCAGGTAACCCACACCACCTCGGCGGGTTCCTCACATTCCTAGGATCCTTCCATGTTCCATGCTTGCTGAGGTACTGATCACCGATCACCGATCACCGTCGACCGTCGGCTGCACTGAACCCACTGTGCCACTTCACCGCGGCGGAGCGCACTACACCAGCACACCTAGATTTCACTCCTCTAACCTAACTAACCCTTACCCATGAAACCCGACACCTTGATTCCTGATTCGTAATCCTTCGACGAGATGGCACTAAACGCCACCCCTGCCGGTGAGTGGTGGCCGAACATCCCTTTGATCCGTGGTGAGTTTTCACCCCGCCATCCCTGAACCTGGAAGCATGTTTAGACTGGTGTGGGAAGCTCGGAGATTTAAAGAGTGCAGGCCGTGGCGTTCGCTAGTTTGTATATAGTTGTATCTATTTCGTACGAAGTAACTCCTCCAAATTATCTCAATATCAATAGCTACGGTAGTTACTCTGGTTGATCACCCTAACCAACCCCCCAAAACCGCCGCAATGAACAACGTCCTCACCGGCGCCGCCATGGGCGCCGCCCTCACCACTGCCGGCGTCTACGCCCCAGATATCATCCTCGCCCAGTTCAACTTTACCGACTTCACCATGCTGCAGACCTTTCTCTCCGCCGCCGCGGGGAGCACGTATGTCTCCCATCTCTCCTCTTCCTCCCTTCCAATTGTCCCCCTATCCCCTATCCCCTATCCCCTTTCCTCTTCCCCCTCCACGCCACCCCCTAACCCAACCCCAACCCCTTCCCACCCAAACTAAATCAAACTAACCCTCCCCCCCCCCAAAGGGGCCAAGTCAACAGATGTCAACGGAAGCGAGAGCGAGCCTCAGCAAATCGACCAAAATTGGACCAGAAGCAAAGAAAGGCAGTAAGATGAGCAAGTGAAAGCAAGAGATTCGCCCTCGATAGCGTTCCAAATTGCGATTCGTCAATGCATTGTGAGTTGTCCCTAGCCTTTGCTCGGATGAGTTGTCGAGGTGGTAGGTGAAAGAGAAGTCAATGAAACAGGCAGGGCGTTCCTCGAGCGACGCGGCTCCAAACGATAAGCCAACAGGGTCGCCAAGAACGA